CAGCAAGTGAAAGTAGAGAGTATCTCTTCGGGGTGTCCAAAGGCCAAAATAACAAACAAAACCAATCTAGAAAGAAAAGGAAGGAGACATTAAATAACCTAATTGAACAACAAAAAATAAAAATACATTTTACTTCCCTAACGAAAAACAAAACCTAAACGAGCCAGCCAAAGAAATTGGCAGGACACCCCTACGCTCCACATTCTTAAAACACAATGCTTTAGAGCAAATGGATGTGGTCAACAGATTTTACTCTTCACTTGAGTTTAACAAATTTGATCATTGCCCGGAGGAGGCATCCAGGAGCTCTCAACCCAAACGCGACCGAACCAACAATGAGCTCCTCGTTGAATGCCGGCGGCGTCCTTATAAAGACCACGCCTCGTCTGAACCGCCAATGGCAATCATCCACACCATCATTGGGCAACCTATCAGAGACCAGAAAGAACGAGGAGGAGAAAGAACACAACACAGCAGATACCAAAGACATAGTTCGTAACAGTGGGGAGAAGAATTTATTGCTGTTCCTTTGTTATTCTAATGGAATGGACCATTTGGTTCACACCTTTATAGACACAGTTACATTAATTATTTCACAGAATGACCAGCTGAACGTTATCCAATCAGGTTTCAGCAGCGGCCATTCAACTGAGACTGCTTTACTCTCGGTCAGTATAGCCCTGCAGATTGCGAAAGCTGATTCCAAATCATCAGTTCTTATTCTGCTGGATCTATCTGCCATTTTTGACACTGTGAATCATCAGATTTTCCTGTCCACCATCACAGGATCTGCACTCCACTGGTTTGAATCTTATCTCACAGGTAGGTCTTTCAGGATTTCCAAGAGGAGAGGTATCCAAAGAACATCAACTGGTCACAGGATTTCCTCAGGGATCAGTTATTGGATCCCTCCTCTTCACCATATACACTACATCACTGGGACCCATTATACAAGCACATGGTTTCTCCTACCATTGCTATGCTGATGGCACACACCTCTATCATTCATTTCAACCAGACAATCCAATAGTAGCTGCATGGATCTCAGGCTGCCTGGCAGACATCTCGGCATGGATGAAGGAACACCTGCCGCTCAACCTGGCAAAGACTGAGGAGGATCAGGCCCTTCCAAACAGAGCATGCTGCACAACTTCTTGCCCAGGCCCTTGTCATTTCTAGGCTGGACTAATGCTGTTCTGGCTGAACTTCCATCATGCGCAATCAAACCTCGACAAATGATTCAGAATGCAGCGGCACTATTATTATTGAATTCACCTTTCATCGGTTAAGGTTTATGTTTGTTATTCAGCTTAGCTACAGCGATAGCTGGATGCCTTTGTCCACATTAAGGATTTCCTGGCACATCAAAAATTATTAATAACGTCTATGAGTTCGTTTTGGACATTATGTACTATAGCGCCCTCCGGCTTCGAGTAATAATAAAACAAACACCGCATGAGAGTGTTTAGCACTCTGTAATGTTCACATCGTTTTGGATACGAATAAAACATCCAAAACGATGCGACTATCTTGTCTCTTTTAATTTAAATCTAGATTTATTCACACTGGCCCTTAAAAACCTCTTTGTAAACAAACTTGCCCGAAAAAATTGTAGGGGAAGAGTTTAGTTTTTATTAAAAGTCAAGAGGACCCATCCGCCGTGTATTCTACGGCCATGCTATAGGGAGCCACTGCAGAGGGATGAAAGCGCCACATGTGGCTTTGGAGACGTGGGTTGCCGACCTCTGACTTAACCAGCCACACCAAAGCAAACAGGAGGAATGCATAAAGAGACAGGGCAACTAGAATTGAGTTCAAAATTAAAATATATAGTTTATTTATATAAAAGGTATATTTATGTATAAAGTTGGGTAATCATGGTGTTATTACCATTACGTCCTGCCCACTCCCGCTGACATTTTTTCCTGTCCCGTCCCAATCACGTGATTTAGTTTCCCATCCCGCGGGATTCCCGAAAAAATGTCAGCCTCTAGTGAACATATCATTTACAAAAAGTGCTTTTGTAGAGGGGGATCTAATATTCATTAAGCCAAGCTTTATAATTTGTTTATCTGAGTTATATCTATTTTTTATTGTTGAACATCAATTAAATTATTACCCTTAAATGGCTTTGGAAGTTTTTCATATTTGCTTGTTCGGGGAACAGTCTTTATAGTATGATATCTAGGTGAAAAAGTCTCTATTTCCTGACCATTAGGTCCCTCATGATACATTTAAACATTTAAACATGATAAATTACAACAATACATTTAAAAACTCTTTGAATTATTATTAAATCGTGAACTTAAAACTCATTTTGTAGTTATAGGTGAAAAATACACCTCTACACCATGATAATAGAACAGTCTTTTTATAATTTTATAGCTCAACATGCTTTGCGTGTGTTTCTTCTTTAGACCATTGACTTCGCACTGCTTCAGTGGACAGCATCATATTGAACTCACCACTCCCCTTTTTAGTTTTGCCAACCTAGGGAGGCAAAATAGTGTAGTGATGGATACTCGCATCACCAGTGATGTTATGATTTTTGGATCACATGTTACTTAATGTGCGGTAATAAGTACATCAGATAAGAAAGATTGGTGGGATATCTAACTTGTAGAACCTCTTTCTGTATTATCAACACAAGGAAGACACAAGTGTTTCAACAGCCTTGAACACGAAGTGCTGTAGGATGCTGATCTTCTGGAGCACCAATGGGTACTAAGATCTGGAATGTGCAGATGTGGCCCTGGGGGCGTATTACAGAATGTTTCTTATCTTTGGTCTTAACTTAAGATATGATACGTTAAATTAGGATTTTTCGCTAATTCGTATTACAGAAGCAAATCTTAACTTGATTTGGGATTCTTATCCTATCTTACAAAATCATATCTTACATAATCATATCTCTAGTTAGGAAATCTTAAATTGCATCATCAATTTCAACAATCCACTTTCAGGTCTGTTACCAAGCAACCAACACTGCAGGAGCTGCTGATGAGATAAACAATGGATAAATAAAACCGGCGAGCTTTTAATTTCAGTGCCGCTAAAATTTTAACTTTGATAAGTTCTGTAGAAAAGGCAAAGCCGATTCTATTTGGTAAGATTTCACCTTCGCTCACTCACGAAGACAAAGACATGGAGTGGGAAAGAGTTGCCGAAAATGTGCATTAACTGTACAGCTGAGTCTGTGAAGAAAATAATCTAATAATCAAACAGATAAGATACGATTTTAAAGTTAGAATCTTTCTGTAATATGCCCCCTGGAGTAGGTGCAGAAGGTCCTTAGCCTGGAACACGCAAGCAAATGCACCATAAAGTGAAGGTTTAACCTTAAAAACTGGAGCTTAACCTTGTTGCAAATGTCTTTGACTTCTGCCTTTCTGGTCTAGCGACTTAGAACTTGGTCAATCTGCTTTGTCTCTCTAGGATAGAGACTCAGGATGTGCTGCATCTGTTGTTGTCTCGCTGGACAAAGACTAAACATTCAATATTTCTTTCCTCACAGGCTGGAGGCTCAGAACGTGGTTGTATCTGTTGCTGCCTCAAAACTGGAGCCTCGGAGCGTGGTCTGTTGACGTTTGTATCTCCCACCACGCAGGCCGGAGACTCATAACGCTGTATCTGCTATTGTCTCACTTTTGCAGGACTCAGACTCAGTACGAATGTGTCTTTTGGAAGGGTACACCTTCCAGTGTAGCCCATCCTTCTTTCCTCCTGTGGAATTTATTTGCATAGTCCAAAACACAAAGTTAGAAAAGTGTAAAAAACTACATTTTTACATATGAATTATTCACTTACCAAACCACAACCTGAATACCTTTGGCAACATTACGAACGCATTAAGGGCCACATCTGCACATTCCAGGCTGCATTAATTAGGACAACCAGAACCGGGAACACTTCCCATAACACCCAATGTACTTGCTACATCGTTAGAAGAATGGCATCTACTCTAATATTAGTCAGTTTCTTTCTTATTCCGAGGTCACCGTAGCCACCAGATCCAGTCTGTATCTAGATCAAATGGTCACTGCAGTCACCCGGATCCAGAGATCCAGTCTGTATCTAGATCAAATGGTCACTGCAGTCACCCGGATCCAGTACATATCCAGCCCAGATGGTGGATCAGCACCTAGAGATGACCTCTACAGCCCTGAATGTCAGCGGAGACCAGGACAACTAGAGATGATCCCCTGAGACAGATCCCTAGTGAAGACCTTGTCTCCTAGATGGCCACCGGGACAAGACCAAAGGAACCAGATGAGTCCTCTGCACAATGTGACTTTGCTGCAGCCTGGAATTGAACTTCTGGTTTCGTCTGGCCAGAGGAGAACTGGCCCCCTGACTGAGCCTGGTTTCTCCCAGGGTTTTGGGGACACTTAACTTCCAGCGCTATCGTCGACTTGATTGCACAGATACTATTTAAACTGAACTGAGCTGGATGATGACATCACTGAATTCAATGATGAACTGCATTTAACTGAAAATTGAGTGTTTACTATTGTCATTTTGCATTATTGACACACTATTTTCCTATTTAATACTGTAAAGTTGCTTTGACACAATCTGTATTGTTAAAAGCGCTATATAAATAGAAGTGACTTGACTTGTTTTTCTCCAGAAAAAATATTATCAAAATAAAAAATTTGAGCTTGGGAGCTCTGGTTGAGTTGACACGGAATGACCCTACTGAAAGTTAATGACGTGAAGTTTTACACTTCTTTATTTCTCATGGCCAGGTGTAGCTTAAACCATTTGGGTAGTTAACTTTTGGGAGTAGGTTTGCTGAGACTCAAAATCAGGGGTTGATTTCCTGTATTGTCTTTAGATGTTTTGATTAAGTGGTCACTTCTGAGGCTGTGTAAGGTAAACCCCTTTAAGGACTGCCCACTGAATGCCTATAAAATACAATGTATCACTTATGTCTTAATTAGACTTTTGATGAATTAGTAACAGAAAATAACCCATTCTATGTTTTTTTTTGTTTGTAGGATTTAACAGCCTGTTCGTGTGCGAATGATGCGCCGCCATTGGTTGCTGGTTGGTGCTTGTGGCTGGGTGTTACTTATCCTTATGTTTGTCAGCAAGTTCATCAACTTCAGCTTCAGAATACCAAGTGGTATGTGTTTATTACATTAGGTCAGAGTTTCTGTATAGAGATATTGGTAAAACAAACGTGTAGCCAATCAGCAGTAAGAGGCGTGTTTACTCATGATGTGGAGGAGAGAGCGTTCAGTGCACAGGACGGACATTAGTGAGCCGAGCAACAGAAAGATAGAGATGGCGGATAAAAAACAAAAGAGGAAAATGTCTGCGGAACAAAAGAAGGCTTACGGCAATAAGGCAATAAGTAGGACCCGTGTAAATATCGGATCAGCTTTCCAGCGCTGGAGAGAACTGAAGGAGTGGAGGGCCTGCGATCGGACGCCGAGGTTGCTTTGTTTCTTCTCTATAGGTGAGTAACACCATGTCTGCGCCGCAACAGCTAAAGTCTGTCTAGTACACTGGACACGACAAAGCGACCATTGAAAATCATTTGAAATTTGTGTCAATACGTCATGAATAGAATGCAGCAGCAGTTTTCTGTCGGGGATTTGTCGTGTCGTGCCGCGCCGCATCCAGTGTAGACCATAGATATGTATATATATCTATTGTGTAGACAGCATCACTGATTATGTGTTCAATAGTATTTTGTCGCGCTGCGCCACTCGCGTCCGGTGTGCACGGTGTAACATTGGTGTTGCTTTGTTTCACAGAACTAATAGTTGCCTGGGTTGCATACGTATTTGTGAGGCGGAGCTATCAAAGTAGGGGCGAGACCCTTTTGGGGTAGGGGCGTGTTTGTTTTGGTGATTTCAGATGTCAACATTGGCTACCAGAAATCGCTTACCCCACCTTTAAAGTGTTTAGAGGTTTAAAGTATTTTTGCAATGCAGCGACATTTGAAAACTTTTTGAAAAAACTTTTTTTTTTTTGACTAGTCACATCCTATGCATGTTTTTCAATTTTGCCAGTTTAAGCATTCAATCTGTTTTTATAGAGGTCAAAAAGCATAGGCACGGAAAACACAAAATACTCCATTAACCAGTGAAAAAAATTTATTGAGATTCGACAACCTCTCTGATTGGTGGATCTCACATTGTGTCCCTGCTATTTGTAATACACACAGATGCCTCTTTAGTATGGAATTACCTTTGTGCCAATTAAAATGAATGTAATTTTTCAAGAAACTTATGAAAATATAAATTGAAACTGAATAAAATGTCTTTGAAACTGAAAAAATAAATAAATTGCAGGCAAAATCTTTGACTTCGTTTTTAATACACTGCATGTTTTGCAACTGTTTTCTCCTCTTTCATTCGCTGATCTGTACTTTCAAATGCGCTTCCAGAGTTTTCATTTACGTTTCTGAAGTTTTCGTTCGCCATTCTGGCACAAATCTCTCGTGGGGGTGGAGCTAGCAGCGGTGTGTTCTCATTGGCTACTGAGTTTGTGATCGACAGCTTCTTGACCTGGAAGTGAAGGCATCAGTGTTGCCTTGCCAGTGTGGATGTGAGCGTCTGTTAGCGGCTTCCAATTTCATTTTAGTGATATAAAGTTAGGAGTTTTGTTTTTGAATTCAATCTGTATTTGTCTGTTACTACTACTTTCAACATAAGCTTTTAGGAGCGCGAGAGATCAAACGCAAGAGAAAAAGAAGGTCATATTGAGGTTTAATTATTAAAGTACTGTATATAATACTGGACATATTGTATAATGTCCAATGTTCTCGTAGGATATTTGTTTATTGCTCATTATTCTTTTGCATTATAGGGTCTAATTAGGTTGAGCTGTTACATTTGAAATACTATCATATATGTGTGATATATTCAGACGTCAAGAAAGTCTCTCTCCAACCAGGCAATCAAGCTCATTTTATTACATATTCCACAAAGAATGTTCTTGCTGCCAATTGTTTTTATCATGCTGATAATTTTGTTTAGTTATTTTATTTAGTTAACATTATCATCTAACGTTTAAAGTTGGAAATACATTTTAACAATCATCAACTCTTTCAAGTGTGACTTTTATAAACCAGTTTTAATGAATGTAAATGAAAATATGAATTAATTCAAATAAATGTACATTCTTTATTGCCACTATAGCAGAAAGTGAAAGTCTTGGATGCAATTATGTTGTGACAGGAAAGACCAGAATCCACGAAACACTAACTGCATAGTATACATGCAATGCACAGTATTCTCATAATTTACATTACGACACAAAATGCACAAGAACATAATATACAGAATATGTATACAATTCATTATATGCTATGATCTAATTGAAGACTGTAACTGTATGTAGATAACCAGGTCCTGTAATGATTGGGCTAAATCAAGAAAACTTACCGCAAGTATCCTGATAACGACGATGATTGATGATAATGATGATGAAATCATTCATCTGTGCTATTCCTAAGAAATCATCTCAACAATGTAGTGTAGTAGCAGATAAATACTGATAAAAAAAATTAATTAAAACATCTTTATATATCATTTTATATCATTAAAATTAAATTGGAAGCCGCTAACAGATACTCACATCCACACTGGCAAGGCAACACTGACGCCTTCACTTCCAGGTCAAGAAGCTGTCAATCAAAAACTCAGTAGCCAACGAGAACACACCGCTGCTAGCCCCACCCCCACAATAGATTTGTGCCAGAATGGTAAATGAAAACTTCAGAAGCATAATAAACTCTGGAAGCGCATTTGTAAGTACAGATCAGCGAATGAAAGAAGAGAAAACAGTTGCAAAACATGCAGTGTATTAAAAACGAAGTCAAAGATTTTGCCTGTATTTAAATTCAGTTTCAAAGACATTTTTATTCAGTTTCAATTTATATCTTCATAAGTTTCTTGAAAAATTACATTAATTTTAATTGGCACAAAGGTAATTCCATACTTTAGTGGCAAGTTAATGGAGTGTTGTTTGTTCAATTCCCAAAATCAGCCAGTAATCTTAAAAAATGCAAGCATTGAAGCACCATTATCAGGGGCGGTGTTTCCATATGGGAGAGTATGCCGCCAATTTTTTGACAGTAGTCTGCTGGTTTATAATAAATGTTTGCTGACAGCCCACAGTCGGATATGGTTCATAATCAATTCCACACACTACCCAAAATGTACTTCCACACAATAAGAAATAAAAGCAATACACACCACTCTCAATAACAGTTGCAAATTTATTAATATTTTCAATTAACACATTAACTATACAAATACATTGACATTTATCAGATGCTTTTATCCAAAGTGACTTTTAAAAGAGGAGCATTCAGTTCAATTCATGATTATTTGTACTCTTTCTAAAATTAACCAAGGTTTAACCACAGTATTTGCAGTAAAACCATAGTAAAAACAATATCAACCATAGTTTTAATGCCAAGTTCTTTCATGAAACTCTAGATGGTGCAGCCTAATGGGTTCCTAAAGGGATAGTTCACCCAAAAATGAAAATTCTGTCATTAATTACTCACCCTCATGTCATTCCAAACCCGCAAGACCTTCGTTTATCTTCGGAACACAGATTAAGATATTTTTGATGCAATCCAAGAGCTCTCTGACCCTTCATAGACGGCAACACAAGTGTAATGTTCCCAGGTCCAGAAACGTAGCAAGGACATCGGTTAAATAGTCCATGTGACATCAGGGGTTTAACTGTAATTTTACGAAGCTACGAGAATACTTTTTGTGAGCAAAGAAGACAACATGAAGCAGAAGCAAGCGCATGTGTCATTATACTCTCCATAATGGCTGTGCGCCGCTGCAGACGGGATGAGGAGGAGAAGAGTTGTTGAATAAAGTCGTTATTTTTGTTTTCTCATCGAGAATATACATTTTCTCAGCAGCAGAAATGCATAGCATTTCCATGCTGCAAATTTTAATTTGGTCAATTAATATAAACAGCAGCAGTATGTACAATTAAATAAGATGCCAATGTTGCAAAAAAAATATTACAGCATAGTAGCATGCAAAGCAGACACTGCATAAAAATAAAATCACTGTAGTGTCTTGCTTGAATTAGTTGCAGAATTGCAGAATTAGTTCTGGGTATATGACACCACAACTACAGGGTTTACAGTGATTTATGCTTTCAATCCCATCAGATCAAGACCCTGTCATGACCAGTTCAATCTCCAGACCTGAAAACATCTGGAATGTGATTAAGAGGAAGATGGATGGTCACAAGCCATCAAGCAAAGCCGAGCTGCTTAAAGGTGCACTAAGCGATTTTTGCCAAACGATGTTGATATTTGAAAGCACCAAAACAAACACGCCCATACCCCAACAGAACCTCGCCCCTATTTTGATATCTCCACCCCACACATACGTACACAACCCTGGCATAATGACGATCTCAGAAACAAGCGAAGATGAAACACAAGCATATTCAAACAAAAGCCAACACAGATAGGTTGTGTGAAACAATGCAAAATCAACGTTACACACCTATCAAAAATAAATAACGCAACCTCGGCGTCCGATTCGAGCCCTTCACGCTCCTTGAGTTCTCTCCACCACTGGAAAGCTGCTGCGATATTTACATTTATAGTCGATCTGCTAATATCCGTCCTGTACACTCAAATTGAGCGCTCTCTTCTCACTATCATTACAAGACACGCCCCCTGCAAGTGTGTTTTGGGACATGGTCCGACACTGCGGTCAAAAGCGTTTTTCAAAAATTGCTTAGTGCACCTTTAAATGTTTGCACCAGGAGTGGCATAAAGTCACCCAACAGCAATGTGAAAGACTGGCGGACAGCATGCCAAGACGCATGAAAGCTGTGATTGAAAATCAGGGTTATTTCACCAAATATTGATTTCTGAACTCTTCTTACTTTGTTCAGACACATCACCTTTGAATGACTGAATGTTTAACTAAGTTAAAACATTAGTGTTGTGTTAAAAATTAATATAAACTTGTTTTCTTTGCATTATTTGAGGTCTGAAAACGCACAGTGACGGCCACATTTCAAATGAAAAAGCAAAGTCCATTTGCAGCTATTTCCCATGTCTGCCTGTCATATTTAAATAGCAATATGAATTACCACATTTGCTTTTTCACTCTCTCTGCGTCATGCATGTAACCTGCCAAAACTCAAATTTAATCGCAATTCCTTTTGCATTTGAATTTCCTATGTCTACACGGATGATTTCTGAACTCTTCTTACTTTGTTCAGACACATCACCTTTGAATGACTGAATGTTTAACTAAGTTAAAACATTAGTGTTGTGTTAAAAATTAATATAAACTTGTTTTCTTTGCATTATTTGAGGTCTGAAAACGCACAGTGACGGCCACATTTCAAATGAAAAAGCAAAGTCCATTTGCAACTGTATTTCCCATGTCTTACCAGCTATGAGCCTGTTATACATAAATAGCAATATTAATTACCACATTTGCTTTTTCACTCTCTCTGCGTCATGCATGTAACCTGCCAAAACTCAAATTTAATCGCAATTCCTTTTGCATTTGAATTTCCGATGTCTACACGGAAAGCTGTCAATCAATGTGAGGGGCGGGACTATACTATGGGGCGTGTTTGTATTGGGAGGTGACGTCACTCACAGACGACCGTGCCGAATCTTTGATCAATGGAGGTAATTGGTAAAGGCTCCGTAAAGGCAGCTGCTAATCAGTTCGTGCCTGTGTCAACGAACAGACGACCTTCTTGGTGCAATACATAATTCTGTCTTTTTTACCCCAAATGCAGCGATTATACCCTGCTAACAGCGGGAGCAACAACGATACGCACAATAGGTCAAAACTCACTATTAACGAAACTCTTTTCACCTGTCTCAACATCTCTCACTGTTTCTCTCACTCCGATTGATGCAAGTGAGTAAACAGACAGTGCAATTCTACACTTACAGTACAGTTCTACAGTTACACTTACAGTACATTTTATTCCTTTCTGTTAATCTGTAACAGAGCGTGTCACACCTGCCTCAAGATTTTTTTTTTTACTGTTTGCACTCCGATTGATTCATGTAAGCAAACAAAACAGTGCCAATCTATATGTATTTACCCATTTTCCACCTTTATGTTTTATATTTTAACAGTTTTAATCCATTATGGAGCACGTGTCCCGTGGGCAGTGGCACCAAGGCGTTGCGCAAGTCTCAAGATCTCTCATTGTGTACAGCCACTTGTTATCACTGCTATTGATGCACATGATTTTTAATAGTAATTCACCTTGGCTGTGGCATGTTCTGTGACAGCTGCGCCTAGATCGATGGTGTAAAGTGAAGTCTCATCTAGGGCAGGCAGAGTAGGAGTAGCAGCATTTTCTGTTGTATCACATGCATCAATTGGAGTGTAAACAGACTGAGAGATCTTGAGGCAGGTGCTCTATTATAAGATAGGAATAAGATATAGGTGGCGAATAGGTAAATACATGTAGATTTGCACTGTCTGTTTGCTTATGTGCCTCATTCGGAGTGCAATAAACCAATCAGAATCTCATCTCCCATCCACTTTAAAAGCCAGTTGCGCTCGCGCCATGACGGGTTCGCTATTTACATGGCGGAAGGTTTCATTTTTAAAAATGTTTGTGTGCTGCTGCGCGTCCCTGTGTGTGTAATAAGCAAAGTGTACGCGCGTTGTGCACCCGACCTATAGGCGCATATTACAAACGCGCTCTTTAAATAACAAAGAAAAAATATTGTGCCAGACTTTAGACCAGGTTTGAGTTGGTCTATGGCGTAATCTATTTTCAGTTCCTCAAAATAGCAACGCGCCAACAATGCGCACCTCTTTTTTAGACCAGCACGCACATGGGCACATAAATGGGTGCAAATGCATTTGCTATTTAAACAATGCGGCGCAGGACGGGAAAATGTGAACTGCGTCAGGCTGAAACTAGCAAGAACACTTGCGCCGCGCCTTGCGGCGCATTGCGCCGGGTGTATGATAGGGCCCAGAGAGAGTGAAAAAGCAAATGTGGTAATTAATATTGCTATTTAAATAAGACAGGCTCGTAAGACATGGGAAATACAGTTGCAGTTGGACTCTGCTGACAGGTGTTTTATATATATTTTTTGTATAAAAAAAATTATATATATACCCCAAATCCTCCCTCCCCCCGCACCCAAACCGCTGAATTCTCACTCCAAGTTGAACTCAAAAGTTGGCAGGCCTGCGAATAAGTTAAACTATTATGGCCAAACCGTCACGGCACTTGGGATTTATTCGCGTCGATTTTTACAAAGCTCATCGGTCTGAAAAGCAAGGTGTGCTGTGATTGGCCAGCTATCCAGTGCGTTATGATTTGAATGATTGTGATTTATAGTAACACATGGGAACAACATCTGCAGCATGTCCAGAAGGTTCTGCAACGGCTCCAGAGAGCTGGCTTGATTGTATACTACAGCGAGAATAAAAGTTACGCCTTCTTTCTTTGCGTGAACATTTGGGCGGAGTTATGCAAATCTTCCCACATAGTGAGGTAGACATGTGGGGGCGTGTTAGAACGAGCCGTTTTAGGTAGGCGTGGCTGACTCTTAACTTTTATAAAGAATATCTCTTTGGATTTGAGACTTTAGTTTTTGCAACTTTACAGATCTTCTTTATGCACCAAGAACTTGTAACACTTCAAAGAGAAAGGAAAAATTTAAATCGCATCATATGACCCCTTTAAATGCCGCTCCATCTGAAAGCACGTGATGGAGATTTACTATTCACAGAACCGGCTTTACTGACGAGATGCGCATGACAATCACATGCAATTTATCGTGCAGCCCTAAGTTTGTTTGTTGATCAGAAAGTACAAAATAGATGAGGAAAATTAGAATGCCGCCACCATGTGATTGGTTGAGCAGATATATCGCATTCTGCAGAGAAGGGAGACTGGTGTTTGTCGCGGTTTGGAAAAAAAGGGAGAAAACATGACAGAATAACTCGGCGGATATCGCATTTTGCGTAAAATTTAAAATTGACTTTTCAATATCGACCAGACACAATACTGATTTTGGCGGAAACTCAATTTTTTTTAAATGGCGTTTATCGCGTTTTGGAGCCAAACTCTTCATATATATATATATTAGGCTATTATATAGTATTATAATACAGCATTATAAAGTGGTTCAACGCATTATATTGTGTTTTTTTTTTTAGACAATTTTTTCGGATAAGCAAGAAAAAAAATATTTAAAGCACAGAGAATGACAATGCCGTGAAGGGTTTTTGACATAGGCTAATTTTATGTATATGCAACTCTGTATTTCCGCGCTGTCTGAAACATGTTTCTTGTGCGCGCTTTGTGTGCGAGAACAGCGCGAGTAACGAATTGAGCTCTCTTTCGTTTCTTCTTCTTGTGGTTTAAAATTGCTTG